TCTTTATCACTAGTTTTCCATTTGCCTTTTACCTTAACTTTGGACGACTTGAGAACTTGATGTAGGGACCAGACTTAGACABGCGTAACTCAGTTTTCATTTAATTCGTAACGACTCTCATTACATCTCGTCATTGAAGACTTTGTACAGTTTATGACCTTTGTATGGTTTATACGCTATTGTACGGTTCTACAACGAGAAAGTTATATTCTTAACATAAGACTTACAAATCTGAACGTAAGAAAACCGGAATTTACCTCAAGTTTGGCCTACGATAATGACTTTAGATCCTCTAACGTCCTTGCTACGTTTTTGTTACGTTCTTGTTACGTTCTTGTTACGTTCTTGTTACGTTCTTGCGCATGGCGAACTATGTTACCGCTGACCATATCTTACAAATATAGGATATTATTTAATATTTTGTACCGAAACATACGTAGATACGTATCCATTGAAGTATTATATATTCTATTATAAATATCATTCCAATTTAAGGGTTGATCTTGTACCATTCTTGCGCTTAAATGTTTTTGTGATGTAGGGGGAACGAATTTCATTTTAACAATTTCTGTGTAAATTTGATGTGTTTTAAGTTTTTCTGGGTGTACAAATTTGTTGTTGATTTTCAAACAGTCGTTTCGATTTTCATACTTTTCCGAGTCATCTGTATTTTTTAAATACATTTTCCAACTATTAGGCAAAGAGTGAATTATTCCAGCCCATCGTATATAATCCTTATTTTTTAGACCAATTGATTTTGCGTATATCCACTTAAATTCTCCATTGAGATCACAGAGATCTTCAATTTTATTGATTTTTAAATTTGAAAAGTCCTTATAGTATATTGAACTATTGCCTATTCGGATGTATCTATTATTCCATAAATGTTGCTGTTTTATTAATGTCAGATCTTTGCTGGGATCGGTATTTGTGAATTCTGCCCAGGTTAGTAATAATTCTTTATAAACTTTAGGTAAACTTTCTGTAATTCTCAAGGGATCGAAATTTATTTGAATCTGATTAAGACCCCCTAATTGTTCTAAATAAAAAGACCGTATTATAGAGGACACTTTATGTTGTTCGTTATTGCATTTTAAGAGCGACTGTCCAGAAATATTGAGCAAAATCGAAAATTTGTGGCCACAATCAAAAAATAAAAGTCCTTCATTTTTGGTCTGTAGACACTATTAGATGAGTTTATCAACGTACTGGGGTCGGTTTTTCGATCTACGTAAAAAATCCGGATTTTTTTGAAAAAAACGATTTCACCCCGTGTCGGTCTAAAAATTGCTCAAGAAACGGCTGCGAATTACGCTTTCAAAAAAATTCTCGCTCCAAGTGAAAACCCAAGTTACAATCAAATTTGCAACTGAATTCAAGAAAAGGGGTGTTGAACAATTGTTCCAGGTGATTTTAGACGTTTTAAACTAAACTTTAGAT